GCTGCGCTAGGCCCGGGGCCCCATCCGGTCCCTCACACTGTGGTCCTGCAGCCCAGCGCCCCGACAGCAGGTGGCCAGGTGGCTCTGACCAGTGTCTGTTTCTCAGACGTTGGCCCCAGCCAGCGCTGTGAGAGGACGTGTCCCAGTTCCTCCTGCGGCTGCCTCCTGCGAGCACAGGAGGGTCACAGGGACAAGCTTTGATCTCGCTTCAGGCAGCATGGAGTCTGAGCAGTGTTTATTCCTGGTCTTCGCATTCCAGGGATGTTTCATAACCTCCTCGCACGTGTTGTCCTGAAAACAGACGCGTCACCAGGGGCGCGGGGAGAGGGCGGCCTGGGGGCCGGGGCCTGCTGGCGCTGGCCAGGGCAGTCCACGGTGTGCGAGGCCCAGGGGCCAATGGGGGAGAGCAGCCGGGTCCCAGTCCCTGCCCGTGTGAGGCTCCTACACACCCATGGGCACCTGCCACCCGCAGGGCTGCCTGTCCCCTGTCCTTGCTGAATGCTCGTCCACGTTAACGCCAACATGACTGTCACTGACAATCCTGCAAGTCTGGCCACTGAGCATCATGTGGCTGGCATGATGACTGACCCCATCCTGCCCGGGCCGCAGGTCCCAAGGCCGCGGGGCCTTTCCTGTCCTGTTTGACGTGCCGTGCTCGGCCCACAGTGGCAGAGCGGCAGGGCTGTGGGATGGGCGTCGGCAGGGGCACCAGGCCAGCTAGGGAAGGCACCTGGGAGAGGGCCACTCCCCGCCAAGGCCCAGGCTCTGGAGGGCGCCACCAGCTGCTGAGAGCCCAGGTGCCCGGGCGGGACCTTCGCCTCCCCTGGCCTCCCACCCTGCCCTGGGGAGGGGGCGAGATGGCTTGGGGCTTCCACAGTGACCAGCCTGGGTCCTTCTCTGTCCCCGGGGATAGAAAATTCAGGGCCAGGGCCAGTGTGGCTCATGTCTGAAGAGGACCATGCCCCTGGGGCAGTGTCCTGTCCCTGACCCCTGCTCCCATGTGCCCTTCTCAGAGTCGCTCTGGAATGAGGGCACAGATCAAGTAGGCCGCACAGCCCTGGGGTGGGGAGGGCCAGCGTTTTGGGAGCCCCCTGCAGGAGCCACGGGGTGCAGAGGAGAGGCCTGGGGTGGGCTCCTCGGTGGAGCCTCGGGCACCGAGCACAGCTGGGAACAGAACGTGCAAAGGCTCAGAGGAGCCATGGGCCTTGGAGGCTGAAGCTGGAGGAGCAGAGAGGGTGAGGCTGTGCTCGGAGGCCTTGGGGTGGGCGAGGCCGGACCTCCTAAGCAGGGTGAGCAGGCAGGCACTTGGGAAGCCGGCCTGGGACCGCGGAGGTAGAGGCCAGCTGGGAGGACACGTGGGCTCCATGGGGGCGAGGCTCCGGCACCCCGTCTCAGCTGTCACACATGCGCCTGTGGATCACGTACCCCATAAGCCCCTTCCGGCACAGAGGACTCTGGGACTCGATGGCTCACCCAGGTCACATGGGTTTGGCCTCAGGCAGAGCAGCCCAAGCCCCAGGCCTGGCCGCCCTGGGTGGTCCCCGCAAGAGGAGATGCACTCGGCCAGGTGCCGAGGAGGCAGGGTGGGCTGAGGAGGGGCAGCGGGAGACCCCAAGGCTGCCAGAGCTTCAGGCCAATGGTGTCCCCGTCACCCCCCACCAGGCCGTGGGGCCCTGCCCCAGGGTTCCTCCCCGCCGCCCTGGTGGCCTGGCTCATGTGCAAGGGACCTCCCGTCCCCGAGGGTCTAATTCATCTCCCAGCTCTGCTGCTGTCCACACGCCCTCCCCCGGCTCCCCAGCCTTGCCAAATTTGGTGTTTAAAAATAACCCTCCAACCTCAGAACAGCAGTCCCCGGCTGACCCTGGCGGCAGACCACAGAGATGTGGGCCGGACTCGTGATTCCAGGTCAAGAGCGCCCAGGGGGCCCCCCGAGGCAGAATGTCCTCCAGCTCTCCAAGGGTCCGCTCGGAGCTGCCATCTCAGGTGGCTTAAACTTTTTCAAGAAGCGAGCCCGGGAAGACAGACCTCACTGCGCTCGCTGGGGGCCTGGGGGCCTGGGACGCCTTTTGGGCGCTGGGAGGTTGAGTGGGTTTTGGAGCCTGCTTGGCCTCCTGCCTGCAGCCAAGTGCTGTGTGAGCTCCAGCACGTCACTTTGCATCTCTGAGCCTCAGTCTCTTCCTTTCTGAGATGATCCGCCTCCTGGGGCTGCGTGGGGTTTGCGGAGATAACAGTGAGGTCCTGGACAGTGTCCAGCTCACCCACAAAACAGCCAGGGGATGGCAGCCCCCAGGGGCAACCCCCAGGGGCTCTGAGCACCCAGAAGCAGGGCCCAGCAGGCTGGGCAGCAAGTGGATGTGAGGGTCCCGCTAGAGCAGACGTCACCTATGGCAGGTCCTGGGCCGGGGTGCCTGACTGTGTGACATGTCCTATTCCCAGTGTTCATGGTCCCCAAACCCAGGTCCTCTCTGTGGCCCCGCAGAGGGCCCAGGCCATTGCTTTGGTCTTGTGACTGGGCAGGGAATGTGTGGCCCGAGGCAGTGACCGTCTAGGACCAGGCTGGCCCTGGGGCCCTCGGGGTGTCTGCAGCCACCTTCTGGCCCAGAGGGAACGGACATGACTGGCCTCCCCAGGACTTTGCCTGCAGTCCTGGTACTCCAGCCCCTCGGGAGCCTGGGCAGTGAGGGCCCACCCTGGACCACTGTCCAGCAAGTGGGTGGTGGCTTTGACTGCTGCTCACTCAGGCCGGCCATGAGGTGGACAGGGGCCTGTCGGCCTGCAGATGAGTTAGATGTGGGGAGCCCCTGCTGGGGCAGGACCTGCCCAGCCTGGACGCAGGTGACCCTCGCATCAGGCTCTGAGATGGCTGTGATTTCAGCGCCGCAGAAAGAGGCCTGAGGGCTGGCTGGGTTCCCTCCAGGCCTGACTACTGGGCCGTGCCCTCCGCTCTGGCCAGGGCCTGTGGCGGTCATGGGGTGGAGCTGGTGAGCTCCCTCCACAGCCCAGCCAGGGGACAAGGACTCTCCTCTGTCATGTCCCTAGAACCCAGATGGGAGCCTGGCTGAGTTGGAGGTGGCAGGTGGCTGCTGAGAGGAGGAAGGGGCACCAGTTTGTGAAACTGGAAGCCAACAGACAGGCCTGGGGGGAGGGGCGGGCTTCTAGGCAGCAGAGTCAAGGGGGGCTTCCTGGAGGAGGTGGCATCTGAGCAGCTTCTGACTGAGCTGCTGCAGGACGGGACTCACAGCAAGGAGGGCCAGGCGCCCCAGGGTGAGTGACCCCCCCAAAAAACAGGCAGTGGACTTTGTAGGGAGTGGCGCGGCGGAAAGGAGCCCTGCCCTGGTGCAGGTGGACCTGTGTCACTCACCCAGCTGGCCCAGTAGCTCCTGGACTTGACCCCTGATCAGAATTAGGGCAGCCCCACCCTATAGGTCCTGGAGCCTGGGGACTTGACTCTGCCCCCCAGCCTCAGCTTCTCCCAGTCCGCGGGTCGGGCCCAGGCGGGTGGTCGTCTTGGGCCCAGGGCTCCGTGGGCTCAGCGTATTTCCAGGGTGGATCCTGAGGTTTCCCTGAAAGGAGATCTCTCCTAAGCACTCAGATGCTTTAATCTCCGTTCACCCTCCCAGGAGGCCGAGGGAGGCAGGGGGGGCCAGGCTCAGAGCAATTAAGCAGCTCTCAGCCTGGGGAGCTGCAGGGCAGGTGGGAGCAGGAGGCTCCGCGCTGTGCTGAGACCTGAGGGGCCCTCCCCCCGGCCGGGCGAGCCCCACGTCACCACCAGGAGTCTAGATGCGAAGGCTGCCAGCCAGGGGTGTTCTGCAGGCAAGCCACCCCGTCCTGGCACACCAGACCTCTTGGGGTGGGCACCCCATTGCTCAGGCCCCCCGTGCCGCTCTGTGGCGGGGGCGAGGTCAAGGCTGCGAGCCTGGGTTTCAACCTGTCACCCCGCGCTGGTTTCCAACCTCTGGGTGTCGGAGTGGCTCCCCGGTTGCCGGTCCTGCAGGCCTGACTGCCCACAGGATGCAGAGCTGCCTGCGGTCCCCCTGGTGGCCCCTCTGCCCTCCCTGACCAGGCTCCAGGAGCCGAGGGCGGGGTTCTGGGACAGTCTGAGCTGGGCATCGGCTGCCCTTCCCCCGCTCCTCTTCCAGAGCCGGTTGTCAGCTAAGTCTCTGCAACTGTTCATCTCAGACTGTCTTTGGGGACACTCAGTGAGGGCCTCCCGAGTGGACCCAGGACTGACCAGCGGGAGTCTTCTCTGTGAGCACAGGGAGGGGCTGTGCAGTCCTGCACGGAGGCCAGGACCTCCACCTGGCAGGGGCAGCCCTGGGGGCCCCACTCTCCCGGGGACGCCAGGCCAGTGGGGCCCCCCAGTGCGTGCCCTTTTGTGACCGGCTTGCTTCCCTGAGCACAAGGTCCCCAGGTCCATCTGCCCTGTGACAGGGTCAGAATCCCCTGCTTTCTTAAGGCTGAGCAGTACTCTGTGTGTGTCCCTGCTGAGTTCCATTGTCCCGCCCTCCCGTGAGTCCCGGGAACCTTGGCCACTTCCCGCTCAGCTCTTGGAGGAGCTGGTGGCGGGGACCTGCTTCCAGCTCAGGGCGAGCTCCGAGCCTCGTGGCATTTTAAATATTCATTTGTTTGTGTGGCTCGTCGCTGTCCTCGGGGAAGGCACACCGCTCTGCCTAGTCCTGTTTCGCTTCTCTTTAGTCCCCTCCGTGTCCCCAGGGCCTGGGGAGCCCCTGCCCGGTGCTCGCCCTCGGGCCAGGGGTTAATGGAAGTCCCCGTTAGGGACGCGCGGCCCCGCGGGTTATTTCCACCACCTGAGCCGTCGTCCTCCTCTGATTCAGTCTCATTTTGCGGTGAAAAGAAAAGGAGGTGGCAGGTGACGGTGGGGAAGGCCGTTCATTCCGGAGAGGAAATTGGATGGCTGGTTTCCACCCTCGCCGCCCTGCGCCGCCCGCCCACACCCAGCCTCCCCCGGGTCTCATTAAACAGGCGGCGCTGCACGGATCGATGCCAGCCAAACGATGACCAGTTGTGGCCCGCAGTCCCGGAACCGGCTCGCCCTGCTCCTGTCCCTGCTGTTCTCTGCAGGTAAACCCTGGAGGCGGGCGGGAGGGGCGTGGTCAGCGCGGCCCAGCCGGGCGCTGCCCTGGTGCCCTCCGACCAGCTCCCCCCCATGGCGGGCCGTGAGGACCTACTGTGCACAGCACCCTGCTCCCTCGCCCGCCTGCTCGAGGGAGAGCCCGAGGGCCCTTTGCGCACGGCCCTGCGCAAGGACACTGAGGCCCAGGGCTCACTTGCCTGAGCCAATACAGCAGGCTGGGGGCTGGGAACCTGGCCCAGGCAGAGCCCCGGTACTGGGGCCACCCCACGGGTTCCACACCAGCTCCCCACCATGTCCCCTATCAGACTCCCAAGTACAAAGATGGGAGCCGGGGCTGACCAGAGAGGCCTCCCTTGCCCTCAGCAGAGGGGCGGCCCAGCACACCAGCCAGCGCCTGCTCTGAGCAGGGCCAGTGCCCTCTCTGCCGGAGGCTTCCTGTCTTTCCTGCTCCCCCTCTGTCCACTGTCTCTGTCTCCGACTGTGTTTCCTCTCTGAGCCGCTGATGTCCCATGGTGGTTTCCAGCCCCCACCGCGCTGCTGGGCACAGCTTAGAGGGAGGCCACGAGGGGCTGGGAGTGGGGTTCTCCAGGCAGGGGCTTCCCATGCATGGGCTCCTCTGGTCCTCAAGGTCCCCTGGGGCAGAAGAACCTCTGGCCTCCTCCTACAGATGAGGAAAGGACTCTGAGCAGGAAGCAGCTGCCCCATCAGCTCTTGCTGTGTGAGGAGGGGAGCTGGGCACTGCCCTGAGCCAGCACAGCCTGCTGCTGGCCCCACAGGGGGAGGCCAATGGACTGGGACCGAGGCGGGATTGATGGCCGCGGCCACCCTCAGCTCTGGCCCTGGCATGTGGCTCTGCCAGGTTGGGGTCCCACCTAGCCCATGAGCATCCCTGGTGGGCTTCCTGGACAGACTGAGGGCCGTGCCCCAGAGCTGATCTGGAAGGACTACGAGGGGCCTGGGAATCTGCTCTGGGACGAGTCCCCAGGGGTGCAATAGGCCAGGCCAGGGACCATGCCTTGAGGACCATTGCCCTGAGCCTCACTTTGCCCTCGCTGCAGTGGAATCCATGATCTCTGTCGGCAGATGCTCCATCTGGGCATGTGCAGTCACCTCTGCGTCCTGGGAGAGCTGTTTCCCAAGGTCAAGGGGATCAAGGGAGCCTAGAGGCTCCTGTGCCCCACCCCGCAGAAGAGGGTGCTGTCCTTTGGGGAAGGGGCACAGAATTCGAGTCGGGGCACCCCAGCCAACCTCTGCACCGGGAGCCTGAGGGGCGCCGCCCACCTGCCAGCCCAGCCCCTCCTGGCCTCCCCGGAGGCACAGCCTGGGGGTGAGTGTGGGTGCAGCCTAGTAACCTCGGCAGACAGCTCCCAGCTCGCTGGTGGAGGCTTTGCAGAGCCAGTGCCTTGTGGTTGGAGAGGCGCATTCAGCCAGCGAAGCCCCTTTTCAGCGATACAAATTAGATACAGGATCCCTTTTATGAAGATACTAATTAAGCCTGAGGCAGCGGCTCCAGGGTTTCCATTGTTCAGCCTGCACTCCTGTGTGTCACCCCGGCTGGCTGCTCATAAATACCATCCTGGGCCCCAGGCCGGCAGCCCAGGGCCTCCCTCCGGAGCTGGGGGAGGGAGAGCAGAGAGCTGGCTCCCTGCAGTGGGGAGGGAGCCTGGGAGGCCTTGGGGCAGGGCAGGGCAGCAGGTGGGCAGGACCACTGCTGGAGGGGCTGCTGCTAGAACCCAGTCTCCTCCATGCCTCTCACCCCAGGGGCCAGCCTGTCTGTCAGTGGCCCCCCCCAGGAACAAGTGGAATCCAAGCAGGCCTGGGTTCGATTCCTGCTCCCCCTGCTTCCCAGCGCAGCCGCGTCACTGCAGGCCTCTAAGCCTCAGTTTCCCCGTCTGTAAAGTGGGATTCCCAAGCCACCTGCTAGGGTGGCCACTGGACTAGACGGGATGGGCCTGGGAGGCGCAGAGTGGCCGCTCAGTCACTGTGAGTGCCTCCTAGCTGCTGGAGGGGTCCCCGCGAGGGGGGCCGTGGCTCTTCCTGGAGGAGCCCCGAGTCCCTGGCCTCAGAGTACACAACCAGGGCTTCTGGGGGAAAGGAGCCAGGAGGCTTCCCGGGGAGGGAGGGCCAGCAGGACTGGACCGCTGCCCATCCTGCCCCTGGGCACAGTGGTCGGGGTCCCACGGAATCTGGTGACCTGTTTTTCAGTCTCCTCCGCGCATTTCCGGGTCTGCGAGCCGTACACGGACCACAAGGGCCGCTACCACTTTGGCTTCCACTGCCCCCGGCTCTCGGACAACAAAACCTTCATCCTCTGCTGTCACCATAACAACACGGTCTTCAAATACTGCTGCAACGAGTCTGAGTTCCAGGCGGTGATGCAGGCGAACCTCACGGCCAGCTCCGAGGGCTACATGCACAAGTGAGTTCCAGCCAGCCCCAGGGCCGGTGCCACAGTGACCCCTGGGGAGCGTGACCCCTGGGGAGGGGCCCAGGCAGCCCAACAAAGCCTCCAGGGTCTGCCCTCTGAGAAACCCCCGAGTGCCACGCCCGCCTCTCAGGCCTGCTAGAGGCTCCCTGGGGTCGTGTGCATAGATGGTTTCAGGTAGAGAAGGTGCCGGCGCCTGGAGTCCCCTGGGCCCAAGTTCCCACATTCATTCAGCCTTGTTCAATAATATGGATCGACACCATCGACTCAGAGGTTAACCCTGCAGTCCTTTCCCTAAAGTGACGAAAACACATTGAGATCAGGCTCCTGAAGGAGGGGACCGAGGTATGGGAGCAGAGATTGCAGGTGGGAAGCAGGGGATGGGCTAAGTCAAGGCCTGGAAGATCAAAACCGCCTGTCTCTCTTACTGTGGACCACACTGAGCATCTTCACATGCTGAGGGCCGTTTGTGCTTGAACTGTGAGCTACCTGTTTGTGTCCCTTTGCATTTTGGTCTTTTTATTTATTTATAGGAATTCTTTATATAAGAAGAAAAATTTTCGTATTTTGCCTTTGATTTGGTGATTTTTTTTCTCATACTTAATTGTTACGCAATCACATTATTTCCAATGTTTTTCTTTTAGGACTTCTGGGTTTTATATCATACTGAGCAAGGATTTTCCTAATGGGGTTATTAAAAATCCCCCCATGTCATCTCTACTTCTTTTATGTTTTACTTTCTTTTTTAAAAATCTATCATTTATATCAAAAGACTTATATTGATGTAAGTTTTGAGACAGGAATTCAATTTTATTATTACTGGTTTTTTTTCCCCCCCCAAATGGGGAGGCCACTTTTTCCAACACCATTCACTGAATTGTCCATCTCCTCTCTGCTGGTGTATAATGCAAATATCGTGTACCATAATGTGCTAAACTGGAGTGTCAGGCAGATGGTGAGACTCTCCGTGATCCGTTGGCTGGTGTCTCAGTGTCTCACTCTGCTAACGACGGTGATCTTTAGTATGTTTTCACATCTCGGCTTATTCCCCGGGCTCTTGGTTATATGAACGTTTGAATTAGCTTGTGTAGTTCTGCAAAGAAACAGAAACAAACAAACAACAACAAAAAAAAAACCCCACCAATCTAATCATGATTTTGAACTGAGATCATTTTGAATTCATAGGTGAAGCCAAGAAATGACTTTTCATATGTGGAGTATTTATCTCCAAGGATACAGTATATTTTTATTGGTTCAAGTTTTCCCTCATAGCACTTCACAGTTTTCTTCGTAGAGATGTTGTACAATAAGTTTTGCATTTGTTCCTACTTATTTCTTTTCATGTTGCTATTATAAATAAGGTGTTTCCTTCCACCCTGTCTTCTGACTGCTCAGATGATAAAGGTGATAAAAGCTAATCATTTCTATTTATGAATTTCGTACTCAGCCAACTTACTAAAATGTCTTATCTTTGTAACACTTTTCCAGTTGATTCTCCTGGGTTTCCAGTTAGGATGATTTTGTCTCCTACTTTCTAATGAGTATGACTCCCTTCTTTTTTCTTGTCCAAGTGTGTTGGCGAGTACTTCTAAAACAACGGTGTTGGCTCCTCTTTATTGGTCAGGCATTCCTAACTTTCACGAGATGCTTCAAATATTTTCCCAGAAAGCGTGAGGCTGGCTCTTAGAGTCGATGCATTTTTTTCCTAGTCAGGAGACATGGGCTTGAAAGGGGTTGTTGTGGAGTGCCTGTGGAGGAATTAGCAGGACCGCTGGGGGCAGTGGGCTCGGAGCTGAGCCTCCATCTCTCCATCTGTCGAGGGGACTCCCAGGGCTTTGCATCATGCTGTGCTCACTCAGGGGGAAGCTGCGTCCTCCCTTTGGTTGGGCAGGAGATGCAAACTCCCCTCCTCCCCCCAGGCCAGCTCCCCAGCCTGCCTTCCTCAAATGCACGGCTTCCCCTGAATATCTTGCCATCTGCTCAGGCCTTAGAATAATTCTGTGTGTGAAGTCGCTCAGCAAGCCCCGTCCGTCACAGCGGGACTGGAATCAGGCCTGCAGTTTGACCCGAGCCTTTTCTAAGAACAAGGGCCAATTCGTGAGGGAGCAGAGCGGCACCAGGACGGGGGTTAGGACCCGAGGGGCTGCGGGGGCCGTGGAAGCCTCTCGGAGGCTTGGCAGCAACCCGACTGCAGGGGCTGGCGCCTGGCGCCTGGGATCCTTGTTCCGGAGCCCACAGGTTTCTATAATCTGCACACTTCCCGGGATTGCACGTGGAATACGCCACGGCTGCTCGCGAGCAGCTGGACCACAGAGGAAGGCCCTCGCTGGAGAGGACGGGACGCGGGAACCGGAACTTGAACTTGCGCTTTTACTCCTCGACCTTAAGAAGCACCCAGGGAGCACCTCGGGCAGGCTCTGCGCCCACTCTCCCGCCTGCCTCAGCGGCCGCCCATCCTTAGCCATGTCACACTGGGGAAGATGGGCACCCAGCAGGGGAGCCACCTGCCTGGGGAAGGCGCGTGGCGGAGCCCGGGAGGCCCCGAGTTGCCTGGAGTTCCTGGATCTTCGCGGATGGAGGCAGATCCGAGGGGGGAGAGGCCCAGACAGGGCTGTGCCGGCCCCTCTGACCTTGGGCAGGTCATTCTTTGTTGCCCTGCATGTCCTGGGCTGTGGGGCAGGCCGGCCTCTCCCACCAGATGCCAGCAGCGCTCCCACCGTCCTGGCCTCGGCTCACGGTGCGGGTGGCCCGCCCACCCCTGCTCCTGTGTTCTCCAGCGTCTTCCTGCCCCCTTCCTCCCTGGGGGGCGGGAGGCCTGGTGTGATGAGCCCCCACAGACCTGGACTCTGCCCACCCGCACTCTGCGTCCTGGAGGGAGGCCGGGGCGTCCAGTGTGCTGAGAGGCAGGCGGGAGCCCACGGCCCAGGGGCCTCCGCCCGAGATCCCTGCAGGAAGTTCAAGGGTGACTGGGGACCAGGGGGCGGCAGGGCCTCCTGGGGTGCAGAGGTGCTGGGACCCTCTCCTGAGGGAACCTGGGGCCAGGAGGGCTCTGAGCTGTCCTTGTGCCTCCACGGGACAAGGGGGCCCTTGAGCACCTGGGGTGACCAGAGGCCCAAGGACAGCTTGGGGCTGTGGCTCCACGAGGGACGACCTGGGGACGGATCAGGGCCTCAGGAGCCCCTGTCCAGCTGCCTGGGCTCCAGGACTGTGGGCCAAGCCCAGGTGGGCTGGTGGCAGAGGGGCAGCTGGGGAGTCTCGGGTGGGAGCCAGCATCAGATTGTCACCAGATGGTGGGGACGGGGCAGGAACAGCTCAGAGGAGGTGGCTCAGGGAGTCTCCGAAGGCCTGGGCGCTGCTGCTGTGGCGCGGGCACAGGGCGCAGGGCTCTCCCCACCTCCCACGAGACCCGCCCCGACGGCCTCCTTCCCCGTGTCAGGGGCACCGCGATGTCTATGTCTGGGTCCCAGCCTCCCCCACGTGACCTCGCGTCCCTTGTAACAGGCCTCAAGCCCAGGGTCCAGCCCCAGGGTGGGGTCAGAAGTCACCAAATTGTCTTGTCCCCCACTCGACCCTGCCAAGCCCCGCTGGGTGTCGAACTTCCGCTCAGCACACGCAGGAAGACTGGAGAGCTTCTAGAACCATCTTCCTGACCCGAGTGCCCTCCGCCTCCAGGGAAGGGAAGGAGCATCCTGAGGACCTGCCCCGGTTTGGGGCCTGACTCGCTGCCACCACTGCAGAGAGCTGTCCACGGGACGGAGGCCCCGCTCGCCCCGCTCTCTGGGGCTGAGGCTCAGAGACAGTGAGAAGAGGCCTGGAGCCACACAGCACTAAAGGACACGCAGGGCCGGTCCTCTGTCCCAGGATCCCGGCTCAGCGAAGGGTGATGAGCCCCCGGGTCCCGGGGCCTGGGGACAAAGGCTGTTTCTGGCTCCTGCTGTGTCCCTGGCCGAGGAAGTGGCCTCCCGGGGACATCCCAGGTGGAGATGCCAGGCGCTGGCTCAGGGCTGCTGCTGAGCCGCGGCATCTGCCCTGCTGCGTGGACCACCGCGATCCCCGCCACCCCGCCGGCCCGCCCAGCCCTAGTGGTGGCACTGGGTGGGCCTGAGTCCTGGACAGGAAGCTGTGAAATCACCTCCCTGGCACCGAGGACCGTGCCCGGCCCAGCTTGTCACATGACCAAGCCTGTTTTCAGAGGGGCATGGGTGTCCCTCTGAGATGCCCCCCAGGGAGTGGCGGGGACACTGTGACAGGAACAGCCTGCCTCCCTGGGCTTCCTGGGCCCGAAGCCAGGCCCTGCCACGGACTGCTGTGTGGCTTTGAGCAAAGCCCTGTGCCTCTCTGGGCCTAGGCCTCTCCAGCCTCCCTCTGGGCCTTCGCTGAAGGAGCCAGCGCTTAGTGGGTCCGTTCTCTTTCCAGGCCCTTCCTTGAGGCCCCACAGCTTCACCACGGAGCAGGCAGCGGAGTGACCCCTTCACAGACGAGGGAGCGGCTGCTCAGCTCCCTGAGGTCCACAGGGAGAATTTGCAGAACCAGGATTTGAACCCGGGTGCCCTGACCTCTGCGTCCCCCAGCCAGGCCCAGCAGGACTCTCCTGTGCCCAGCACTCCCAGCTGCCGCTGTCCCTGGCTCTGCGGGCCTCGCGTCTGCCCCGAGCGCAGCCCCTGCTCTTGGCCCTGGGCCGTCCCTCCGGGTGGAGTTAGCCTGCAGCTCACGTATTTTTAATTGACGTTTTAAAATCCTACCAGGCCCGACTCCTCCCAGCCGGCCACCCGGGCAGGACAGGGGCAGGAGCTGCCCGGGGACGGGTCTGTGGCCTGGTGGCCCAGCCTGCCACCCCCAGGCAGCGGAGGGGGCCCGGTGCTGGCAGCACCAGCAGGGAGGGGCGGGTGGGCAGCGGGTGGACGCCAACACCAGCCACTGGCCACGGAGCGCGATGACGGTGACCCTCGGCCAGGAGCTCTCGGAGGAGGGAGAAGCGGAACAAGCCCTCGGATTCTGGCAGAGGCTGGGCCAGGGCCAGAGGACACCGTGGGCAGAGGCAGGAGAGCCCCTCGGTGACACTCGACTCCAGCCCTCGGAGCCCCAGGGCCCAAGCCCGGGGACGAGCAGCTCCCGCCCCTGCGCCACCTCCCGCAGACGACTCTGTCTCTTCGGTCAGCGGGTCGTCCCTCTCGGCACATGGGCACACGGCGCCGTCTAAGGACTCAGAAGCGCAAGGCCTGGGCCCTTCACACGGCTAAGGTGGCTGCTCGGGGTCAGCGAGCGCCAGGAGGACGTCGGCGTGGAGGCCACTTGGCCATGAGCTGTGCTCACAGCTGGGCACAGAGACCCGCGGGCCCCAGCGCTGCCCTCAGGGCCTCCCCGTGTCCAAGGGCGGCCAGTTCTGCAGGACAGCGAAGCCCGCAGCACTCTGGGAGCGTCACGGCAGGCTGCCTGGAGGGGGCGGCGGCAGAGCAGGGCGCTCGGGAGGTGGGCACAGTGCGGACAGGCGGGCAGCGAGGCCCAGCCTGGGCAGGAGTCCACGCGCCTGCTGCCCTTTGCTCCCGGGAACCGGGTGCTGCGCTCCGGGCTGGGTGTTCGGGGCTCAGGCGATGCTCTGTGTGGGGACTTCCTTCTGCTGGACGCGACCGACCGCAGACAGCTGCCCCCTCCCCGCCCCTCCCCCTCGGCCCCGCGGCTGCCGTGGGAACCCTGAGAAGCCACTCTGGGGCTGCCGGAGAGAGGACGTCGGGGACAGCCAGGCCCGCCTCCCTGTCTGCGTGGCCACCTGTCTGCCCCACATTCCTGCCCCGATGCCGAGTCAGGCTGCTGCTCCTTCCCGGCAGGAATTCTGTCTAGAGGCCTCCGGAAAAATCCAGTGTCCCCTCTGTGGTGGCCGTGGTGGGGGGACCTGGCCACAGCGACCTGCTGCTTCCCCCGCCCCCCGGCAGGCGCCAAGCCTGGAGCGTCGGCCCTGGGGGTCCACACACCTGTCGGGACACAGCCGCCTCCCTGTCACCCCGGCGCCCAGCGAGTCCTTGGTCCAGGATGAGTGGCCAAGTGAGGGGAGCACTGCTGGCCGGGGCAGAGGGCGCCTGGCCCTGGCCCTGGCTCAGCCCTGGGAGGCCCAGAGTCCAGAGGAGCAGCCCTGCTTCCTGCAGAGACGCTGAAGCCAGGGCTGCTCCAGGTCTGGAGAGATCCAGCTCCTGAAAGCTGACACTGGAGTCTCTGGCCTCTCCTCCAGCCCAGAGACGGGCGGCGGTTCTCTCAGGAAACACAGCAAAGCCGGGCAGGGGAGGAGTGACAACCAGGTCCCTGGCTACAGCACCATGGGCCCCGCTCAGGTGGGGTCTTGGGGGTCCCAGTGCCCTAGGGGCCTCGTTTGGGGGTTGGGGAGCAACAGCTGGGCCTGACTCTGCTCGTGGGTGCGCGTTAGCCCTCCTCCTTGGCGCTGCTGGCACAGCCACCGAGCAGATGCCACAGCAGGGAGCAGCTGTGGGTGGCGTTTGAGGGACTAATGATCCGGTTCCTCCAGCAGCTGCAGACCCTGCGAGCACTGCTCATGGCTCCGTGGCACCAGGGCTCAGAACCCGGCCGACCCTTGGGGACCAGCCCCCAGCCTCGGGGAGGGGTGGGGGAATGGCGCGGTGACCAGAGGAGGGGCGGGCACCTGGAGACTTCCTGGGGCTAGCGGCCTCCCACAGGGGCTGACGGGAGGAAGGAGAAGGCGGGTGGAGAGCTGAGCAGCAGAAAGGCAGCCTGTGCAAAGGCCCTGCGTGGGCGACAGGCAGACCGCGCTCCTCAGGGACCAGCGCTGGCCACAAGGAGGCTGGGCTGCACCTGGGTCACAAGGCCCTCAAGAGTCCCGTCACCTCTGCCAGAGGAGGGTGCAGGCCTGGGTGCTCAGTGGGGGCGGGGGATGTTGGTGGATGAATAAGGAACAGTGGGGGGGGGACCCCCACCACACAGCCAGAGTGAAAGGCCCCCAGGAAGGGACAGAAAGGCAGGGGACGGGTGGGACGGGGGCCACCGTGACTTCAGGCCATCGTGGAGATCCCCGAGCCGAGGCCCTGAATGACACGTGGGGGGTGAGGTGTCCCCCGGTGTCCCCAGGCTCCACAGCTGCCCAGGGGTGAGACAGGAGGTGTGTGCAGGGTGAGGCCAGGGGGGACGGGCAATGGCCGCCCAGCCACAGGGAGGCCCGAGGGAGGCGGCAGGGTGGGCGGAGCCTGTGTGAGGACCTGGGGTCCTCCAGGGCAGGCCCAGGACCCGGGAGAAGGCAGCGGGGCGGGGGGCGGGGCCGAGCCTGGTGCCCGCTGGGAGCTCCCGCGCAGCCCTGGCCCGTGCCCCCGGTGCCAGCCGCCTGGGCAGGGCCGTCCGCCTCATGTCCGTCCGTCCGTCTCTCCCCAGCAACTACACGGCCCTGCTGGGGGTGTGGATCTACGGCTTCCTCGTGCTCCTGCTGCTGCTGCTGGACCTGCTCTACTACTCGGCCATGAACTACGACGTCTGCAAGGTCTACCTGGCGCGCTGGGGCCTGCAGGGCCGCTGGATGAAACAGGACCCCCAGCGCTGGGGGGACCCTGCCCGCGCCCCCCGGCCAGGGCCGCCGGCCCCGCAGCCCCAGCCTCCCCCGGGCTCCCAGCCGCCGGCCCCCCAGGCTGTGCACACGCTGCGGGAAGATGCCCACAGCCCACCGCTGATGTCCTTCCAGAGCTCGTCTGCCTGGTGAGTGACCGCGGCCAGTGCCGGCCGACTGAGCACCTTCTCTGGACCCTGCGCTTGGCTCCCTGGTCGTAGTCCCTGCAGCTCGGGAGGCTGAGGCAGGAGGACCGCGAGCTCCAGGCCAGCCTCAGCAATCTAGTGAGGCCCTGGGCAGCTGAGGGAGACCCTGTCTCTACATAAAACGCACAACAGGGCTGGGTGGCTCCGTGGTCGAGCGCCCGTGGGTCCGATCCTGGTACCACAGGTAAGAGAGGTGGCAGCGCAGCTTGGGAACAAAGCCCAGAAGCCGACGCGCTGGGCGCTGGTGTGGGAGCCGCTGCCGCTGCGCGTCACCTGAGGTTCCTGGCTGCAGAGGCAAAGCAGGAGAGGTGCTGGGTGTCCCACTGTCACTGACCGGTCGGTGGGGACAGAGGGGCTTCAGGGCGCGGGAGACTTTCAGCCTGAGGTCAGGAAACAGGGAATCGCTTTGTTCCTGTCCGTGCCTTGAGTCACACAGGGCGTGGGGGTGACTCGGCAGGTGTCCCGCGGTGCCCTCGGGGAAGAGAGGAAGATGGGGTGGGCAGGGCCTTGGAGGGTCAGCCCTTCGGGACAGCTGCCCCAGCAGAGCCCTGCCCACAGGCCGTCCACATTAGGCCAGCTCCCGTTCCTGCCTGGTTCCGTGCCGTGGGGCCGGCAGACCTAGGCCCGGCCCTGGGCAGGCGCAGGTTGTCCCAGGCCCTGGGATCAGGAGCCCACTGCGAGGCTGGCAGTGCCCAGTCGGGTGCCTGGGTGGGGGGCCCAAGCCTGGGCACCGGAGCTGGGGCACAGCGTCCCCTCCCCCCACGGCGCCCAGAGCCTCCCACTGCCCCCCACCCCCACCCCGGCAGCAGCTCCCTCCGGGTGAAGGCCTTGCAGGTAGCCCAGGGCCCAGCGCCACTCCCAGCCCCGTGACCGGGTGGACGCCTGGCCCTTCTTGACCTCCCAATTCTGGGGAAGGGGTCAAGGGGAGAGCCCCAGCCCTCCCCAGGGTCGTCCTGAGGGTTGAGTTAAACACCAGCACATAGTAGGTGTGCGGCTCACCTCTGGGGTGCCTCCCGGGAGGTGCAGCCGAGCTGGTCCATGATCACTGGTCACTCCAGGTAGCCACCGTCCCTAATGAATGACACAAATAATTAACACGAGGCGCCAAGCGGCGGTGCTCGGGGACAGGAGGAGCGCCTCCGTCCGTCCTGGAGGAGGCAGGCGGGGCCCGCTCCGCTCAGTGGACAGCTGACCCCGTGGGTCCTCTGGGTGGGTCTCCTGTGGCGCCAGGTGACGGAGGACAGAGGGCAGGTCCCCACCCCAGGGGAGCAGGGACACAACCGCAGAGCAGGAGGGTGAGCGTCTGCTGGCGACGGGGGCGTCCTGACCGGGGTCTGTGGCCACAGAACCAGGGGGCACCTGGCGCCTCCAGGCCCGCAGAGCAGGGCGGTCTGGGGTGAAGCCGCGTCTCCTGCAGCTGGGGCTGGACGTTGGCCAGTGGCCCTCCCCAGCCCCTGGGCACACGTGCGTCAGGACGGCTCCTGCCTCTGGGGCGTGCCAGGGCCAGGTGTGACCGTCGTAGGTGGCATCTAGCGTCCGAGCCGGGCTGCCCGCCCGAGAGGCCTGCAGTGCCCAAGGGAGCACGTCCAGTCTCACCCGAGGAGGACACCGCCCTGTGGACCCTCAGCAGCACCGGCTGCAGGCCCCGCTGCGTGGCGCTGACTGGGCCCTGGCCCCCAGGCAGGACCACCAGCTGCGGCCACAGGGTGGGCACTCGCAGCATCCAGGCCCCAACGCTGGTCCCCACCCCCTTCCAGCCTCCACGTCCCCCCAGAGGGCCTCAGCTCCTAGACTGGCCGCACGGCCCCTGCCCGCCTGCCCTTCATTCCCCTCTCAATGCCTGCTCAGCGCCTGGCTTCGAGGCACCCATCAGGTTTCCCTGGTAACTCACCCCCGGAAGGAGCTCTCGGGGGCTTCCACAGATGAGCGAACACGGGCTGCAGGCCCAGAGAGGGTGAGTGGCTTGCCCAGGGACACACAGTAAATCATGGGCTTGAGCCCAGGTCTCCCAGGGCCACGCCTGGCCTGAGCCCTGTGCCCCGGCCCCTGCCCACTCCCCCAGAGCCTCCTCCCACCTCACCCAGCCGGAAACACCCCCCACTCCAGCCCCACGTCCCTCCTCTCCATCAGTGCTGGGCCCGTCATGCCTTCCCCATCACCCCGGGGGGGCTCCTACTCACCCTAAACCTCCCCGGGCACCCGTCACCCAGGAGCCCAGGGGGGAGGCGCAGGACGGCTGTGGCTGGAGGAGCGGAGGCTGCCAGCCCCCAGGCCCTGGGGTCACTCGGAGCCGGGGGAAAAGGCCCGATGTGGCCGGGAAGGGGGTGGCCTGCGCATCTCAAGTCCAGGGGGTGCTCAGGTCCCCGGGTCCTGTTGGGTTGGCAGTCTCCTGTGCACTGGGTCTGGGCCAGCTCCCCGCGTCCAGAACAGGCTCCTGGACAGGCCAGTGCTGCCCATCGTGGGGACAGCAAGGGCGAAACAGAGGGGCCCCGGGAGCCGGGTCCTCTGCAGAGTGGGCTCATGGCCCTGGTCCTGCAGGACTTGGGGGCCTGGTGCCACTTCTGTCCCCTGGCTTCCCCCAGGACCCTCCACCTCCTGCAGACCCACCAGCCTTCCCTGAGCAGTGGGCCCCCCCGGACGCTCTCTCCCCAGCTCTGCAGCCAGAGGCCCTGCTGTGTGGTTTCTGCTCTGCCCCAGGACCTTTGCACCTGTCCCCGCCCCTCCCCGAACAGCTCCCCTCCCAGATACCTGTAGGACTCACTGCCTCCTTCCCACCTGGTGCCTGCTCGGAGTCACCTGCCAGAGGCGTCCCGTCCTGGGTCTGCAGAGCCGCAGCCCCGCCCCATCTCGCCATCCCTTACCCTCCCCTGGTCCTTGGTTGGCTTTGCCGCAGCCTGACGCCGCCTTCCTGTTGGCTTTGGTCTGTGGGGATCCGTGTGTCCCATGGTCAGCGGAGCCCCCCACACCAGGGCAGCACCTGGCACACGGTGGGCACCCAGGAACCAGATGCCGAGTGAGCGACTGCCTTGTGCCCAGGCCTGGCGCGCAGGACAGTGAAGAGTAGCCCGGGCAGCTCTGCGGCTGGACACCCTGAGCTCCGTTTTATGGAGGGGAAACGGAGGCCAAGCGATTGGCTTAGTCACCTGCGGGTCAGCTGCAGGGGGACTGGATTCCAGCCAAGTGTCCCCAGGGGACAGGAAGTCTGGTTCCCAGGCGCTGGCATGTCAAGCCCTCTCTGCTCAGGTCCACTGCCCACTGAAGCAGCCTGGCGCCCCCTGGCCCGGCCATTTGAGGGCCGCCAGCCACCAGGCGGGGGAGGAGGTGCCGGGCCGGCTGCAGGGTGGGTTCTGCTCCTTTGGGGTCTCTCCCTTCCCTGGCCCCGCGGGGAAGGTCCTTCCTGGCCCTCAGAGCCTTGGCCGAGGCACCAGCCGATGCCCATCTGGTCACCTACTTCCTTCCTGGGCAAGGCACCCGCCCAAGACCCCCGGGCACGCAGTTAGCAGTGCCACCCCCGGGCTCATTTCACACCAATTTTGCTCCTAGCCACCCTCGAACAGAGCGGCCAGCTCCTGCCCCAGGTCCTGGTACACGGGGAGCCCGGGCACCTGTTGGACGTCCCCGAGCCTCAGTGTTCCTGTCTGTAAAACAGGCACCGACAGGTTCACCTGCAGGAGGATCCTGAGCTCAGAGTAGGCTCCAGTGTGCGGCCAGTCTGCAGAGGACCCGGACCATCCTCGTCACGGGGGTTGACACTCTTTAGAGTCAGAATGACGAGGAGAAGCCCAGCCCCCGAGTCCACACGTGGCCACAGCCACGGCCACCGCGGGTGCTCTGCCCTCCCCGGTCGCTGACCACCGTGCGCCTGCGATTCTGCGTCTCGGTTCTCTCTGCGAGCGTCTGTCCCACCGGCCATTGTCCTGTGGACTCACTTAATCTCTCTAAATATCGCTTCAGCAGCGACGAGGCCGTGAGCAGCATTAATTGAGCCATTTCCCTGCCGCAGAGCGGGGCTGAGAGGCTCGGTGGAGGGTTTGTTTGACTTTTGTTTTGCGATGACAAGTACGGGTGGCGGGGCTTGGGGACAGCAGCCTGGGGGGCAGGAGCCAGCGAGGACGGCTTTGCCTGGTGTGTGCTTCTTGAATCATTTCCTGCCATCAAGTTCCAGTGAGGATGTGGGGGGAGGGTGGCCCTTTAATGGCCCTGCCCACCAGTGCCCGCCATGTGGAGGTGGCGTGGTGGCAGCTGGTCCCTGCGCCCTCTGGGCCCACTCCCTGGGACGCTGGTGGGTGAGCACCTTCCCTTCCGTGGTTAATTAATTCCGCTCCCTCTCCTGGAGCGTCCCATTTATTTTACGGCGCCCCCAGGACAGTCGCTAATCGCAGTCATTTCCATAAAGCAGCATTTATTTCCCAAATCCTCGTCCTGGCGCCTGGAGACGCGCCTCCCCGGAACTGTTTACTTAATCCATTTTTAATTGACTCTAAATCAAGTCGCCTGTTTAGGAAACGCAGACCTGCCCTAGCCGTGTCCCCAGGGCTCCGGGTCCTTCCTTCGTACCCGACCGCTCGCCGTCCCTTGCAAGAGCTGACCCTCAGATTGTGGGGGTTTGGGGAGCCGTCGTCAAACGTGGCCGCGATTAAAAGTGAAATTATATAAGCGTGTGATTGATTCAGCTCTAATAGACACCAGGGTGGCAACACTGGGGACATCACTTCCTAATTATTCTGCTGGGTTCACGGTCTCGGTGCTCTTGGGGACGTGGGCCTCTGTCACGTCTGCAGGGCTGCGTGTCCCTCCCTTCCTGAGCGGCAGCACCGTGGCCGTATTTACCCACGGACACTGGCAGCAGGGGCCTGGGTCGCGGGCCGCTTTGCACCCTGGTTTCCTGGGGTGCGTCCACCCTGAGAACAGGCAGCGGAGCCTTGGCCAGCCAGCACGTTGCC